AATATATATTAATTTTTCTTTACAACGTTTTCTGATTGTGATATACAGGGTGTTTAAACGTTTGGAGATTTTCTTAACGGTAAATGGAATAGATTTGTAATAAGCATTTTCAAGAATCAAGCCGGTTAAATGCGTGTTTAAAAGTAATAATAAAAATTATAAAAACTCATTAATAACATCTGGAACAGTCCCCTACTTGAGAACAGTGAATAGTGTGGCCGTAGGTAGCACGCCGTTCACTTTTTTGACACATTTTTTGTAAAATTACTAGTTTTAGGTTATCATCAATTTTACATTAGTTTTCAATACGCAAATGTATTGGTGAAGGTGAAGTAATTTTTTTGTGATGGAGTCAGCGGTTCCAAAAATGTTTATTCGTATTATTGTGGTAAGTCAGTAGTATTAAAAATATATTCTATTGACGAAAAACGTGTTTTAACATATTGACTCTTGAAATATGCTCTCCAAATTTGTAAACATCCTGTATATTTAGCTGATTAATACTATTATTTAATTTAATATACGGATATCAAATAAGTAAGCGGAAGCATTTTCCTGGCGAACTGTACGCAATTCTGCGTTTTTGCCCCGGATTATACCCCGCATAGAGCGGGGTGGTGATAATTAGGGCTTTTCTGAAGACCTAAGCTCTCTTGCACCCTATTACACTCCAGCCTGTCTTTTCATATAGGGTTAACCTCTCACGTCCCTTTGCGTTCGCCGGGTACCGGGTATAGACTCGCTTCCAACGAGTTTACGTACTGAAAAGGGATTTTAAAGCGAGTAATTCCGATATTGTGCCCCGGCGAAACCAGCGGCGGCTCGATAACCGGGGGGGCGGTTAATGGCTGGATAGAGGTCGCCTTCAGTCTTTAAGTCACTCAACGGCTGTCAAATCAAGGAGGGATTTCGATTTAAGTGATCTACCTTCTTCGGATCACTTAGATCACTTAAATTGAAAGTCTTTAATCTTGACATATTAGTTTTGCCCAGTACTGAGTCAAATTTTGTGTCAAATAATCAACTTGTAAAAACAATAAGTAGGTTAAGTACTTTTTTTAATTAAATACACTATTTTGAGGGTTCCAAAGTAACTTAAATGAAAGTGACCCTAGAATTGGTCCTTGAGGAACTCATGTTACTTTGGATATAAAATTTATAACCGTACATGTAGTATATCGCTCGTTGAACGATTTTTTTTTAAATAATGAATGATTGGTTGTGAATATCGCAGTTGTGGGTAACAATAATGTTATTTTTCTATTCATATATACTAGTCGGGATTTTATCACGGCTTAGTCCACAAATATGCTATTTTCTTCTGTTAATGCGAAGATGAAGATGTCAAATTTATGATTTCCTTAATTGAAACACTATCTTAACTAAGTTTGCATGAAATTTATCGATTAACTTAATTTCAGCTGAACATAACATTTGTACAAACATAAAAATAGTTATAAATCTGATACGAAATTATATTTTTGCTTGACTGAAGTCATTTTCTATGTGGCAGGGGCAGTTTTGAATAGAATGATGTTCTCTGCTGTCTACAAACAACAAAAAGAGAAGAGAATTTTCTATGTGGAAATTATTTTGAATTGAGTTGTACATAACATTTTAGAACAGAAAAACTAAAATTTTCAATTAGAGATGAAACACTTTTTTCGTGACTTCTACATTCACGAAAAAGCATCATGTTCATTTCTTATGGCAAAATATACCATTGTTAATAGATATAAGGTCTTAATAGGTACAACAAACAGAACTGGCTCGAGAACTGAACCTTGAGGAACTTTGTCAAGTCGGATACGAAATCTCTAACTGTACATGCATTAATAATTTTGTCCGTTAACCGTTAAAGATTATTTGTAAATATTTTAACTGTATCAATAGATAACGGATATTTCGGTATTGTGCTAGCATAAAAATTCAATGAAGTATCATTATAGTTAAGAATATTTGTAATATAATTTTATTTCATAGCAGTAGATCAAAATTTCATTGAGAGTTAATGAAAGTATATAGATTTCTAGGTATAATAGAATCAGTATATTAAATATATTAAAATTCACCAAATATTTTAAAAAAAAGTAATAATTCAGTGTTGTTTCAAATTATGTTGTATTTGAGACTTGGGTATTCTGAACGATGATTTAATACCTATTATTGAAAAAATCCTACTATATTCTATAAATTTTGTGGTGAAACGACGAAAAATTCTATAGGCATACCGTGGAAAAATTGTGATTTTAGCGATTTTTCAGTTACTGCATATTTTTCGATTACATTGACTTTCAAAAAATTAAACATACAGTGGAAAAAACAATTGTATGGAGAATTCTATCTAATTAAAACAGAAATTTAAAATTATATTTTGGATAGTTATTTTTCGTTATAAATTCTCAAGAAAAGCGAAAATAAGTATTGTTTAGTATCTCATGTTCTAGAAAAATATGGATGTAGATAAACAAATACACTTTTCGGAATTTTAACGGCAACATGTGTGCGATATTTTTTTTATATTGGTTCGTTTACTATCACTTTCCCAGTATTGTATTTCTTGTTAATCAAAACACAGTTAATAATAAACCTATCCCTCGACCTATCCTAACCTATGACTGGGTCTTCTTATATTTTAAATATTTTCTCAGAAATAGTAAAATATAAAATACTGATAAATAATTAAAAAACTGAGATAAAAACTACTGTATTTGCGGCTTGTTTTAAAATAATTAGTCTTGTTGAATGAATATTTCATACTCTGATAATTCCACTTTCAACAAATTTGGGAGAATAGGTAGGTACCTTCCTAACATCAGAGGAATTTGAACAGTTGCCGTCGGACTCTAGCGACAAGAATATCACGTTTTTTATACGTTAAGGTTAAATCGATACCAGCACAGACAACATATCAACTAAATTATTAAATGGTACTGTTTTTTTATGCACACAACTTTATAACCTATAAAACGCGTTCATTACCTTACTTTGTGCCGGGTAATTTTATTATGACTAGCGTTTTATTAGATTTTTAACTGCCAACGCCGACTTGATTAATTCCAAACACATTCGGGCATTAGAGGAAACTAAAAAATTGCTCTCAGTAGAAAAATAATTAGAAGTTTTTACACTTTTAAGGCAAAGGGGTATATTTTTTTTTATCTTTTTCACTGCATTTTTTTAAAGAAACGATTGTTTATTTTCTCCATTCTTTTTAATATTTTTTTTAGTAGGTATCTTTCAGTTCTGTACAGTATTATATTCTTAAACGCGATAATCTTCAAATTAAATTGTATACGACAAATAACGGATGTGTAACGAAAAACAACTTTTAAATAGGAGCGGGGATTTTTTCGAACAAGTGGGTATTCTGTTCCAATTTAATTAATTACGTAACATATTCTAGTTCGTAGCCACCTAAGACCTCACTATTTATAAATAATCATTTTCAGACTTGAAAGCAGCCGCAACGTTGACAAACGATTTTCGTAATTCGAGGCAACAGTCACACCGAAAAAACTGTTTAATTGCACCTTATTTCAAAACCAGATTAATCACGTTATCCGCGATTAAGGAAAATAAGTTTTTTTTTTGTCGGTACCAATTAGTAATGGAGCCGTCGTATAAAAAAGACACACAGCACGGAGCCCGGCCCACACTTCGGAGCACATTGTGAAAGCGATGCGTAGGTTTTTCGGAAAAATACTAACGCGACTTTTTTGCGGCTGGTTAATAAACTTTTTAAATGAGTATCAATAGATTGGGTTATTAATAATTCATGTTTTGACATACATGCCTACATGATGCGTGTAGAAAATATCGTATTAGGCTTGTCGTTCGGTCCTAACTTCAATTATCTTTGGTTTGGATAAGATACGTGTTGGTTCTTTGAATTTTGAGGTTCAATAATCTTTCTATTCGAATCAGACCGATTTTCTTGACGTTTTCATTAGCATCTCCATCATTTTCGTAACGAAAAAACTCAGTAACGATCTTATTTTCGGTGTAAAGAGGAAAAGGAAACATAATTTTTGTTCCATTTAGTTGAGATCTCGATGCTATTTGATTCAGATTTAACGAGGATAAGAGGGCTATCACAAATCCTGTTAAATGGTATATTATTGGACCCGAAACGGGTTTTTATAGAGTTAAGAACTGGTTCGTGGTGGGTACAACTAGATATCATTCTAATGGTGCGGTGATAAAAATTTTTAGACATTTAAATTTAAAATGAACTGGTCGGGTGCGTTTCAATTGTCGACAGTTGTTGAAGCTATGGATGTATGTCTTCCTTTCACTTAGAGTTTGAACGTAATATAAATTGCCTACTTAGTTTTTGTTATAAAAATATATGTTTTACTGATGTTCTGAACACGTATTCATATTGAAGCCTTTGACTCTTCAAGGCGATGGTTCTAGATTTGATTATCTTTTGTTTGTTACAATAATTTCTGCTTTTTAGGAATATATTTGCGAAGAAAACGTGTTTTATTCCTAGTTACCTAATCAAATTCCTTCTACGCTTTATAAGATTTAGTTTACGGTGTGTAACATTAAGAATTATTTTTTAATTATCGTCCACTGTATGTAGTTTGATCTTGGGTCAGAGGGAAGGACATCGCTAGGATTTTAGCACCATTTAAAATTATTTGCTCTGTTTTTGGTGGTAAAATTTTTCCGTAACTTTCTTTTCAAATCATTTGATTCGTTATAGGTACACAAATTTTGTGTGTTTCAAGTTGCTAAGCGCAATTATATAAAGCCTTACGCATACAATTTTGATGTATTTGATTTATTATTTTCAGCACTTCAAAATCCAGATTTCTCAGAACTCTGCCTTCTATTTGTGCGCGATCTGACAAACCTAACACTGCATATATCGACTTTTAATTATGTACTTATCGCATTCACTTTCAACCCCTTAAACCTCACTACCGCAGACGGCAGACATGCCCGCGACACTTTCTAAAAAGACCCCGGCACTCATGAAAACTCCTTACCTGCCAGACTTGGTAATCACCATCTCCGTGCCCAGTTTGTGGAACTTCTCCCACAGATCCTTGCCCTCCAGAGTCACCTTGGGGTCGTCCACGACGCCGTCCTCCTCGGGCTGGATAGCCCTGAGCGGTCGCACCATCGCGGGGTGGTGGTTGTGGGCCGCCACCGCCGCCAGCACTACGTCCTCGGCGGTGGTGTACGGGTGCCCCGTGAGCGCGTGATGGGGGTGAGGGTGGTTGATCTTGGGGATCAGCGTGCCGGGGTAGCACCCGTGGGGCCCCTGCTGCGCCCCGAAGGCCGCCAGGGCGGCCGTCGGGAAGAACGCGGGGCCCGCGGGCGACGCATTGGCAGAGGCGTTGTTGTTGGCCGCCGTCAGCAGGGAGGAGACGCTAAAGTCCGTCTGTCGCGGCAGCTGCAGGAAGGGGTGGTAGGCCATTGTGTTCTTCGCCTTGCTCGAGTCTAGGGATGCTTCCAAAGCCGTGTCGAAACGCATTTGTTTAGCTTGGAGGCGGCAGAATCCGGCAGATTCTCCGACCGCTCAGAAACAATCATAAATGTGGTGACGGCTCCCCTGCGACTAGTCCTAGCATAGCTCCGATGCAGCGTCTAGACCGATCTCGGCATAGTTCCCGCACTGGTTTGCACTAAAACACTAAAAAGAGCACGCTTGAAAGGTTCACTGAAACACTTGGTCCGTGTAGCGACACTATCGGCGCGGCTGTTGTCCAGGCCAGGATGTTGTGGGGTTGTTCGGTGAGAGTGTGAACAGTGACACCTCTATACCGGAGAGAGGACAGTACAGGACTATAGAGCCAGGCCCCGCAAGAGCAACACTTCTCTGTGTTAATGACGGTGACGCGACGGGATTGGTCGGGTGGTGTCAGTTCTGGCGGTCGGGCCAATAGCGGGGCGACATCGCCCCCACCCTTTTCACACTTTCGGTGGGCAGGAGTTGCGAGGTTATGCCTATGGAGGTGTGGCTGCGGGTTTTTCAGACGCCACCGCGGTCCTCCGGTTTTTTTTGTTTTGTTGTTTGTCGACGGGCGGCCGGGGACATTTTCCGTTGTTGGAAAGTCTCCTTTTTTTTTGTGTACTGGATGGCTGGTGATGCTGCTCGCTGCCTTCTTCTCTGCGACTGGAGATGATCTGCAAAAGAAAACGGCGAAAGTCAATATTTGCCTTTGTCTGCTCCCGGCTCTTTTAATTCGATAGGAAAGTGTTCCCTCTATTTATATGTTGGGTAATGGCTCTAATCCCCAGCTAGATGTACCCGCAGCAATAATTTGTTGAAATGTAAAATTATTTATATTACGCTTATGAGGAAAATAATACAATACCTTAAAAAAGTTTTATTTGTTGTATTATATGTATATGTACCGACTCAGCTGTCATTTTTATTGACAGTGAAATTCATTGACCAACTTTTATGCTGCTCGTCTGAATGAAGAGATAATTTATAATAGTTCTACATATATTTAAACGCTAATATGGTTATGTTAATGTGAAATGAGCTGCTATTTCAGCGCCTAAGTAGGTATTTTAATTGCAAATTCATGTAAATTTAATAATTGTGAGAATATGGGATACAGCTATGGGATGCCAACATGTTAATTTATTTTTACGGTTTTATATAATCATACGGTCAGAAATTGACCAGAGAACAAAGTAAAAAATAATTTTTATTTTTATTTTTTTTGTAAAAATGGGTAGAAAATTACTTAGTAAAACTCAAAAATTGTTATATGCCTGTCGGTACCTAGGTACCACAAAAACTTTTAAGTTTTGATTAATCGTTAATAGCTCTAACATCTGGCTATATACGAAGCCATAAAATAGCCTAAATACCTACTTATAGGGGAAGTGTGGCAACAGTGGTACAGAGGAAACAATGTTACAGCTCTATTTTTTTTCTATATTCGTTTCATTTAGTGACTGATTTATTGAAGTGTTATATCAGTATGGGATGAGCAATAAGCAAACAAATTAATTTGCGGTTTGTTTAAAAAACAAACATTTTAAGTTAAAAAGTATGTTTGTCCAATATCAAAGTAAATATTTCTCATCTTGAAACAGTTGTGGTAATATTTTACTTTACATGGGTATTTCTTGAATTCAAAATAACGTAATATTGCTACTAGCGTATGTCGCATCATGTGGTAGTAACATATCAATTACAATTTGATTTAATTCTTGGTGGTTTGTGTAGGGAAATGTTACAACAAAAGCAAAGCAACAGTGTGTTTTCTTCAAAGACCTAGAAGTAAATTTTAACCCTAGTTATTTCAGTTTTTGTTTTGCAATATATTTGTAGTTGTAGTGTTAAATGAATTAAATAAAATTTAACCATATGTGCTGACAATATTTGTGTTAAGATTATTTTTTAATTATTTGTTATATACTTCAGTAAGAGAATGTATACTTCAACATAGGTACTACAGCAAGCATATAAACCCCCTCAAAATGAATCATACCTACATTTTGTTTCTTATATCAATGAGAACAAAAAAAAATTATAAAACACTATTGCCTCACTTTTTAACTTATTAAAACTTCTAATTCTAAATAATTTTGTTTAGGCCCGGTACTTTGAGTCTCTGATTTATTTTATAAAGTATAATCACAGTCTAATCGCCTGATTAGTTAATCAAGCCTTAACCAAGACTAAAAGTACCGGGCCTAAGTCTATCATAATATAACCCCAAATTACTATTTTGGCTCTAAACGCGTTTCACCAACAAAGTTAACATCGTCAGAGAACTGTTAAAACTAAACATCTTCGTCGTAAATAACAAACTCACGGAAAACAATCCAGAACGCGCTAAGTTCGAACCAACACCTTCCATTTTGAAACAAAATCAAGCAAATGAGTATAACTAAACGCCACGACAGAGCATTATATAAATTTCGCATGTCGCGCGTCGCCGGTAACGAGGATCTAGTTGGCTTTTACACTTTTGCCTTTATGTAACTTTTTAGTGGCATCAGATAAGACGGCCGGGCAATTATGTGGGACACGCGAAACGCACAAGTCGACTTGAACGCACATTTTCTAGGGCTCGTGATTCAAACGCTTAGAAGGGTTAATTTCTTGATAATCGAATATTATGAGTTGACGAAGCCATGAAGGACTCCGCATCGGGTTCGGGTGAGTGGAATACGCGCCGGTTCCGTCGCATACTACTGGTCAGTCGGATTCGCGAATGGCATGCCGTTGGAAATGGAAATGTTAAAATTGTGGTCATGATATAAAAAAAAAATAGTTACAAAATAGTAGCCGCGTTGCATTTATGTATAATAAAGCAATAGGTAACTGAATTGCGTAAAGTAAAATAATAATGCTCGCACGCCACTGTGTTAGTACCAAAGCGTAGCTGCAAAGATATACACTGTATCAGTTAAGTATAAAAAAAATTAAGTTTAAAAAGTATTCTTATATCAATAATTATTAGGGATTGTAATATTTCTGTGTCCAACTCTTAAACACTTGCAGTTCTTAACAATCCTGAGCGTAAAATAAAAAAAAAGTTTAAATAGTTCTTAGAAGATGGACCACAAATTTACCTTTTGTTGAGAGTTTGAAACTTAATTCCCGTCAAAAGGAAAACTATTAAAAAACTTCTAAAGATAAAACTGAATGGAATTGTTTTTAATCCCCATAATCTGAATGTTACTTTTTGCGTTTATTTGTATTTTCGCTGATATTTGCTTACTTTATTATTCCTCCGCGGAAAAAAACACCTTGTAAATAATTACAAGGTAATCACTGTTGTACTTCATTTTATGCAGAAAACTTTATTTTTATTCAGGATTTTAAGAACAACGACAATTTCAACTACATCAATTTATTTACAATATCACTTCCTTAAAACTTTTAATAATACGCAGAAAATGTATGTAAAATATTACTGTCATTCTAGGTATTCTCCATTTTGTGCAAAAATTTGTAGCAATTATAATTATACCTAGGTATAAAATAATTATACCTAGGTATAAAAAGTATTTTTGTATAATTGGACAGAAAAATGTAGGTATTACAGAAAAATTCATTTTATATCTACCTCTGTCTTTCTAATAGAAATATATTTACTAAAATTGATAAAATTAAGAAAATATTGAGTCAGATCTAACCGCTGACATGCTTAGTAAAAGTTTTAGCTGTGTCACATAAGTGTTGTTCTTGGCATCCATCCTGGTTGTGAATAATTAAGTGCTTGATCTGAATTTGTTTAAAAAACTGTAATGACAAGACGTTTTAATAAAATTTTTAACCTTGCCTTCCAAATTTTCAAAATCCAACTTCATTTGATTACTGTTTGTATTTTATCTAATATTGTACTATTCGTATGACTATGTGTTGCTTCTGTAACTTTAATTAATGTAATCATTGTTTAAATAAAATGTATTGTATAATAATATGTACTAGGCATATAAGAGAACTTCTAGAAAGTTTGTAAATATAACACTTTACATTAAGTACCTATAAATACCTATATTAGAATAAAAAATAACCCGATTATGAACATGACTAAAACGGGAACAAAACCTTAATTGACCATGGCATAACCTATTTAGTTACGCAGTTTAAGCATTTATAGGGGCAATATTGATGTTGATGTTCTAGGAATAAACAATAATATTAATGACCAGATAGGAAAAAACACCCAACTAAAACTGTTTCCTACGGTTGTTGTAAGCGTATTGGTGGGCATATTCGTTTTTTGCATTACTAAAATATTATTTAGTTAGTTTAAATCACATACATAAAAATACTTTATTGAAAGAGCCAAAAAAATGGGTTCATTGCAAATTTCATAATACTGTTGTGAAATTATTTTAATCTAGCAAATGTTATTGCACTTTCAATGTTATTTATATCTCGTGTCGGTTGGTAGCATCTAGATTTCCGAAATCCACGTTCCACAAAATAATTTTTCTTTGTAATTTTTCATAGACTTGTCTTCAAAATGCGCATAAAATGTATCAAGTATGTAAAAAGCCGCATTAAACTGTTTCAGTGTCGTAGAAATACCTAGAACTTTTTATTCATTTTATTTAGCTGGTTTAAAAAGAGTTATTGCTACAATACACAGCTGTCTACATTTATATCAAATAGTTAATAGCTTCTGGTATTTATTAAATTGTGATTACCCCCATAATTATTTTAATAACATAGTAGCGTTTATTCAGAAGTAAGTTCAAATTAAACGTATCGAAATGTATTTTCCGTTAAAAATAATCGAAGGAAGCGTTGAAAATGCATAAACCCAGTTCATAAGGAATTCTTAGAACAAGTGATATCCGTTATTGATTTACCATTTATTTTTTGCCACTTTAACGACAGTTTAAGCTTGAAAACGGATAAATAAATTCATATTTTTTAGCAAAATTATATCGTCTTTCTATAAGTTACGTAAAACATGTTCAGAAGGGAAGAAATATCATCTTCTAACTTATTTATATTGTTAATTATTGAATATTAGAAAAAATACAATTTTTCATTCCAAACGTAGTTGTAAAAATTAGAACAAAAGTATCAGTACACTGAAGGTGTAGTGCTAGTGTCAAAACTTGCATTTTGCACATTTTTTTAGATTTCGGTAAGGCATCATCGTTTTTTTCTTCAAAATTGTTCAAAAATTAAGACACTCCCCCAAACGCGTGCTGATGTCATACTTACATGCACTATTCTGACCAAATACCGACGATGCGATGGAAAATCTCGTCTTTACCGACACAGAGCCATAACCGCCGATGGTCTACAGCAAAACCGAGCAACTTTCAGTCGTC